TTATTTTAGGTCTTTTAAGTTTAATTGTAATCAGAATAGCACGGACATTTGAAGTAAAAAAAGTAGGAGTGTGACAAGTTCCCTTCTTGTGGGTACAGAGCTGTCACAGTAGGAAGCAAACAAATTAAAGCGCTTTCCATTCTGTCACAGTTACAGTGAGCCCCCTGGCTAATAGCAGATGTGAGAAATGAGGTTTTCTGTGACACATGGAACAATAAACCAGCAAGCCACTTTAGCTAAGCCTTTGTGGAGAAACAACGTACACAAAGACAAAAACAGAGAATCAGTGCAGAGGCGGCGTGTGTCTGAATAACTGAGTCAGACCTGGGCTCAAACAGACATGGATTTAACTGTCTGGCAAATCAAGCATATTCCACTGGACCATCAAGAGAAGTAAGGCCACAACAGGAAAACAGGATTCTTCTTTGGCTTACACAGAGGAGAGCTGCCCACATTTGTTTCTATGTAGGTGTTGCCAACCTACTGATACAGATTGTTTTCCCCATAATTGTAAATTGCAGTGTACCACACCCTCCACCGATCCCCCAACCCATTTTCCACAGTCTGCTAGTACATGTCCTCCTACGTAAGCAAACATTTGGTGGACACCCCTGCTAAGCAAATATGTTTTTCCTAGTTAATTTTCTTAGTTTTCACACAATCCAAGCCAAATATTACTCAAGAAAGACTTATGCTTTAATTCGATAATGACTTCAGGCAAGTAGCAGCAAGAATCCGCACAAACAAGCATCAAGGACTTAAAAAACAAGTCAGAGAAAAACACGGTTAAGATTTGGCTGAAATGTACAGTTCTGAAGTGCTACTTGGGAAAGCTAACTTCTTTCCATTTCCTATTCTTAGCGACTTTTATCTTGCTTTGAGTTAATCTATTTAAGAAGGCACATGGGGGGAAGTAGTCACGCACCATCTTGCTCTCACAGATGTAGGTTGTTGAAACATCCAGATAAAGAAGCAACAATACACTCCAAAACCTTCTTCAGTTCGTTTTATTACTAGATAGCAGAATACCGTCACCATTTAGAGATCAGTACAAATCACTCATGCTCATATCCACATATATGCTAGCGCTCTGCTTTGTCCAAACAAATGGACCTTTGCCGATCTCAAGTCTTTCTTTTGTCCTCTAATAATAATATTTCCTCTATTCAGACCACAGGCCAGCCCAGAACTGGCTGCCTCTGGCAGACTGGTACAGCCTCAAATGAGCCTTTGCAGCCCTGGTTATAAAGCTGCAGAAGAAACACATGAGCTGATGGCCTCAGAATACCACACAGTAAATGTAGTAACTAATAATAAAGACTTGATCCATGTTAAAAGTGGATTTTTGTTCTCTCTATTTTACCACGTAAACTCACTGAGAACAAAACATCATTTACATTGATGAACTGGAGGTCCATTTCTACAGCAGGGCTTTTACTGGGGCTATCTGAAGGAAGTGCCTGTGCTCAAGGGTACAAGACCAGTGTCCACATCCAGGATTTGAAGCCACAGCCCTCTGGATGAGAGTCCAGAACCCTGACTTCTCTGCCACACTGCTGCCTCGGTCTGAATAAACACCACCACCATCACGAGACCAAGCAAGCAAAGAACCAAACTACTTATCTGAATTATGCCATTAATTAAAAGTAGAACTCTTTCGAGTTTAAGTTTATGACAATTTTTTAAAGTGTGTTTTCTAGGGTTACCAACAGAAAATTTACTATAATGCCTTTTCAGTTGAACAGAAGGTTTTTCTTCAGAAAGAGCAAGCAGCAAGCTGCTTTTAATGAAGGTCAGGAGGTCAGCCCCCACCCTCTGAGGTGAAGTAATTAGGGCTGGAGGGGCCCTGACCATGTGGGGAAGACCTGAAAGTGAATGTGAAAGCGTGTGCTCGTGAGAGCGGGGACTGAGAGGAACAGAAAGGTAAGGAACCCCAGGTCAGTAGGAAGTTTGGTCCTGATAAAAAGCTAGTAATGTTCCCAGTTTATGTAAAAATATTTTGGAAAAACTGCCTTTCTTTACATGCACATTTACAACTAAGAATATTGCAATTCAATCCAAACAAACAAGCTTTGTTTCCTATTACATCCTATTACTACTTTTTTCAAACTAAATCAACAATACGATGGATTTTATTTGATCAGAACCTAAACACACAAATCACAGACGAAACACAAAGCCCCATATGGTTATGAAAGTCCACCTACTGGCAACAAGACAAAGAATCTACTGCAGCCAAGAAGCTTAGGCAGCTCCTGTATTATCTGTCTTCCTCTTTTCTCTTTTCATGACAACTTTTACATTATTTGGTTCCTATGTAAATGTCACTGCACGTTTATGTCAACGTGTTTTGCACATCTGGGGTGACTATTGTACACCTGCTTATTTAAATAACACATATGGTTGAGAGGTGTACTCAAAGTCAATCTCATAGGCTGCTGCAGAAGGAGAAAGACCAACTCCTTGCCAGGCAGCTGCTAATGGCAGACTGAGATCATTTTACTAGATTTCAGCCTTGTGTGTCCTATAGAAAGAAAACTGTGTTGTTATAGGAATGTTTTCTTTTCTACAATGTCTTATGTTTTATTTTAATGTGAAAACACAGCAATTTCTGAATATTTTATGTAAAAAAGTCATTCCTCAAGTCATAGGAATCATAAGAAGGATGTGGATGTTACGCACTGCAATAATCAGTTTTATATTTATTGTCCAACTAAAATCTAAAAGAAACATCAAAATGTTTAGCGGTGATTATCACACAAGACCAGTATACCAGGAGCCCCCAGTATACCCCATGATGTACAGTATATCCCCCATTTCTTTTTTAATTTTTCTTAAGAGTGGTTGATGACATTTAACTTCAAATTCAAAAAGCTTATTGACATGAACTACAATATTTCCAAAGCAATAACAAAACAATTGAATACATTTACAAAAAACATATTATTAATAAATATTTAGCATCAAAATGATCTATCTATATTGAGTTTCCTTTCCTCCTGCCAAGTAGGAGTGGAAATGGTTCTGATTATGACAGGTATGAAATTCTGGAATTAGATTCATTATTTTAGGGAAGAATGTTTGTCTACTCCTGGAGTATTTATTGCAGAGCTGCAGAAAGTGCATCTCTGTCTCTGTCTCTGCTTCTCCCTGCTGGAAACACAGTCTATCCTTTCAGGCTGTTTTGCCTGTGTCACACAGTTTCTATGTCCAGGCTGTGGTCACTGAACCTGTCCTCTCTGGGCAGTCAGATCTGTCTGTTTCTAGTTTGTACGTCCAGGCTGTGATCACTGAACCTGTCCTCTCTGGGCAGCCAGGTCTGTCTTTGTCACCCAGTTTCTATGGCCATGCTGTGGTCACTGAGCTTGTGCTTTGTCATGGTCTGTTTCTCTTTGCTCTCTCACATGCTGGTCAGATACTTGGCCAGTGCGTATGGTCTTTTTTTAGGTCTAAACTAAACATAGAGTGGTCAGTTCGCATGCATGTTTTCATTACAAATATTCATTGTAAAAAATATGTATCCATTATTTACTATTCAACAAAATGGGACATCACTGGAAGCAGGTGAATATTTTTGCAAAGCTGTACATACAGTATGTGCATGTGTATGATCGTGTTAATGGATGTTAATTTCTAATATTTTATCAACAAGCTCTAAAATGTTTAATTACTACAGAAGTATGGTTTATTTATTTTTTGCTCTGATCTGTCTGTACACTAAGGCTAATTCTCCTTTAAGCATCACAGATTGGAATGGGCTCCATCCAGCCATATCCAAGGACATTACTGTGCAGCAGGGAAACTGCTGATGGGGGAAAAATATTTCAAGACAAAACTGCAAAATGAGTGCTGAAGGTAGTGAGGAATTCACAATTGCTACAATCAGTGCATGAAAAGAGTAAAATCATAGTGCTGGAGAGCAGCTTATTCTGTGGCATTCTGTTGGGCTAGAGAAGGAAGAACTCAGCAGACGTCACCCTGAGGGGACCGGGAGTCTGGCCGCATGGCCTCAGAAGACAAGGAAGCTACTCCATTGAGAACTTTGGGGAGAAAATACGTTTGAAACTCTTTTGGGGCACAATGCGAAGGTTTGCTGTGCACTATCATATGCTAAATTATTAACTGAGAACGGGTTTAAGACTAATAGGCAAAAATGCGGCCATTTCAGTTTTTCAGTTTTATCTTGTTAAAACACGATAGGTATGAGGACAGCTATTTAACCCCAGTGTTTAAATTGACAAGGGCATTAGCAACAGTGTCAGGGCAAACAGAAAACAGAAACACCCATCTGACTCTCTGAGGTAAAAAGTGCTTTTCTGCCCAGTCAAAGTCGGTGACAGAGTGTAAAGTTTGCAGGAGGTTATGTATCGAAATACATAGAATCTACTGTTGTGCTACCTGGTCCATATGAATCCATAATTCCAGGCAGTAGACTTCCTGCCACAGAACTACTATGAGAGCAGTGTAAAATCTAATCAGAGAAGAAAACTTTTTCTCTGTCTGGCAGCTGACTAAGCTTTTAGTTACTTTCAAGTGGGAAGTCCCCACCGGTCTTGCTTGTTCATGATTATTTCTTTAATCAGCCACATGTACATTTTAAACACCAGAGAAACATCAGGGAACAACAAGGCTACAGTACAGTGAGAACTGTATTGGTTTCAACCAGAAAGCACAAGAACATTGGAAGATGCAAATGCAAACAAATAAAAAAATGGCATCTTTATCCCCCTTAAAGCTATGAAAGAAATGGGTTTTTGTAGAAAAAAAAAATTCATGCGTGTGCACATATTTTACCTATCAGCAAATGGGCAGCCAATAAAGAAGCCACTGCCCCAGTAAAGAAGCACAATCAATACAATCAGATAGAACTTATTATGCTGTTGTGAGTTTTATAAAGTAAAATCAACAGTGAGAGTGAAGGCGAGGATGGTAGTGTGAACAGTATACGGTAGAACTGACGCACTTCACAAGGTGTACAATACTATAACATGTAAGAGTACCTGAATCACTCTGACATCTCCTGCAGGTGTTGGTTTCTGTAGGGTTCAAATTAAACAATTTATTGGGTGCGTGTAATGCAACTTGCAAAAGCAGCACAGCAGTTCAGCTTACGTTCAGATTCACAGTAAGGAACATAACGACCAAGAAGGCATTCAGAGTTCAGCTGCAACTAACATCCGAGTCATATTGCGCTTTACGTGGCAATCCTAATTCTCTTATCATCTTTCATTAACGTCCTACATCACATGGCACCCAGAACAACCCTCTGAAATACTCCAATTAACTTGCACATTTGTCAGGCTGTTGAATGTATACCCATATTTGAAGACAAAAATTAAATCTTTATTCCTCTTGTTTAGTTTATTTCCAATGAAGCACATTCAGTCTAGCTCTGCTTCTTTAACACTTCTCCCCCTTAATCTACTTATTAACGGGACAACATACTCAAACAAAGATAAATGCATTAGTCTGCTGTATACTTAACATTATAAGAAAAAGATGTTTTTTGAAGATTGCTTTCAAACTACAAACAGAAATGCTTTCCTAGTACTGAAGAATAGAATGATTTGGTACAATGTTAATAAGCAGAGCTCATCTTTAATAACTTCATTTTCTTATTTCTCATCTTTAAACAATGAATGATCATTTCTGTAATACCACAATGCAAATTCTAAAACCATTTAACAGTTCAATTCTAAATACTGTACCACCTGTTTGCAACAGATTTAATTTTTTAAATAAACTTTAAATATACATAGTACATATATTGTACTTAAATGTATCACAGTATTATATAATTATATATAAAATATACAATTACAGTATAGATTTTGTATAAAATTGAAGAATCTGTCAGTCTCCTTATTAATATTTTGAAATGTTCTTAAAGATCTCTTCAAAAATAGTTCCAGACATTGTCAAATTTCAAAAGCTGGGGATTCAATAACACATATGTCTCTTAAAAACATATTTTCTGCTGTTACAACCTTGAGAACTGGATTTCTAACTGTATACGGTCTTTCAGGGACTGTGTGAGCCCCTGCAGATAATGCCTGAACAGTGCTCTACAACCAGATAATCAGCAGTCAATACGATATAGTGACAGAATGATACTGGGATTGTATTTACAGGGAAGATAATTATTTACACCAATGACTTAGATTACTTGCTGTTTATGGGTGGCAAATCCTTGCTTTGATTATTTAAAATGTGTCTCAACAGTGCTTTCATCCTAAGGACCAGCTTCACTGTAAGCAGTGAAACTAACACTTTCAGACCTTAAGTTAGAAGAGGCTGTATCTGCTTCACTTTTAAGAATACACCAATTTCACTGCACTTGAAAAATGAGCACTAAAGGATCTTATGACAAGACAAGAGTCCACATACACAAAAATAACAAATATAGCCATAAATCAAACTTAATTATTGAACGAAAATAACAGATGTTTACAAGGTATGCCTCTCCAGCTGTAATCCTGATTAATTCTATATCACCCTTTAGCTTCTCTGACAACATGTAGTTACTCTTGGTACAAATCACTAGATTTGCTGGAAAAGACTTATTAATAATAGACCTCAGTAATGCAAACAAGAAAACAGCAATAATGATTTTAAGAACTGCTTAAGGACACACAAAGATGTAACTATCAGCCTATTATCTTCCTTATTTATTCAGAGTCCATATTTATCAATGTCTCCATATGAATGAAACTGGAGCTAACCTATGCAAATGGTGGCAGATTGCTCAGTAAACTTTTAATCTAAAACATTTAACAGGCATTTAATTCAGCATGCTTATGCATTACACACAAGTGACCATTTTGCTCTTTGTAAAAATGTTTGATGTCTTTGGCAGAGCAGTTTACCACAAAAACAGTTGTGTGATGAAAACAACAACAACAAAAAAAAAACAGAATGGAACAAGTTCTATAATTAGTCAGTAACTACACCTAAAACACTTCCCAAAAACTAAGAACATGCAGACAGCACAAAGCTAACAATATCTTGCAGACCTGCAACCTTCTTCCTCCTTCCCCTCATTGCAAACAGATTTACAGTTAGAAACGGCTGATTAACAAAACCCCTGCTCAGCCAAGAACACAACTCAGATGCAATAAGAAAAACTATTTACGACAATAGTGTTTCCTATGATCTAGATTATTTTGTCATTTTATTATTACTTCTAAATCAGAAAACAATAAAAAAATAATGAGCGCAGCAAGCCGTTATATGTATTCTCACGCAAAGGCAGGTACTGTATATAAGAGAGAAGAAGATTTTATTTTGCATTATTTTTAGCACAAAACACTTGTTTTCCATGTTCCTAGTGCTAAGATAACACACTCCGGGTGACAACATTACTCTGAGTTAACAATATAACAGTTCTCTCACAGCTAGAAGATTGAGGAGGGTAGCTGGGCTCAGATCAGATGAAGTACAGTACTAACCTACACACTTCACTGTTCAAGATACTTGTAACAAAACAGCAGCACTAAAACCACCTCAGGGAAACCTAGTATGTCGATATTACTATCCAGCTGCAGTTCTGGAGACAATTATACTGAAGCTCATTTTAAAGGATATAGTTCAGCAGGAAAATCCTGATGGCTTATAGCCGGTGTGCAAACCTTCAGGTTCAAATCACAGTAGGCCAGGGTGAAAATAAAAAAGACAACCACTTAGTTTTCCAGAATTTATGGTGGCCACCAATCATGAAAAATTATAATTTTCAAAGCATGCCCTGATACTGTCCAAAGTGCTGTTGTTTTCTCTCAATTATAATAATAGTAATGTTTTATACTTATTATTATACTTCTGATGATCTGTACAGGCTTACAACTCCCTAGTATTTAATAAATCACTTTATTCTGGGGATACGTTCATAAGCTATCACAAAAATAGCTTTAAAAACATTACAAAACAACCTCCATACTGGACATTCCCACCAGACGTAGAGATTGCTCTGCGGAGGGCTACAGCGTCCCAGCTCAGCACTTAGAATAAGCCTAGGTCACCACGACTGAGGGGAAAACACAAACTTGGGAAATTCACACAAACAAGCACCAAAGTCTGACTGGTTTTGGAGGGAAAAGACAGTTTTATTCAAATAAGTTTAATTAGCATGTTGCATGTTGAAATCCTGATATAAATCATACACACCAGCTAGCTTGGTTGTGACAGCACGGCACTATAAAGTTCAAGACTGCAGGTTACTGGTGAACTGAACATGTGTCCCTTTTAGATGGGGCATTTTCCCACATGCTGAAGGTTTGACAGGTGTGGCCACACTGGGGGGTGAGGTTGGGTGCATAGATTAGAAGCTGGCCCTGTGTCTGTGTTCTGCCTTACAGATTCCCTGTACAGCCAATGAATTTATTTTGGAAGGTCATCCTACATAATTCTCTGCCTCTTCCTCCCCTTTTCCTAATGAGGAGAGGAGTTGAGTTGGTGTAGACCAGCATCATACTGACAATGCTCTACCAACAGATCAGTCCAACTGTCTGGCACTTTGTTACCATGGCCTTCACCCTGAAAAGAAAGACCATGAATAATTATTGGCATTAAAAGAAGTTATGTGGTAGAACTGCTAGATTGTAGTTGTGGTGTCACGTTTATCTCTGAAGTTATGACACCTGAGATATATTATATGGCATATATGTGTAAAAAGGAAAAAAACATGGAAGACAAAATAGAGTATTTACAAAGTGACAAAGGGAATGACTGCATACAGTTTCAAAGTGGTGTAAAGCTGAGACAACTGGCTGCAGGCCTGTATCAAACTGCTCAAAGACTGAAAAGAAAACTTCCCTCAAGTAGGTCAGCTCCTCTCTAGGAGGTAATCAAACCCATTTTGACCCTTTATGTGTAAGGAGTATCTGGGTCAAATGTAGTCCGTCAGCTGTTACACTCCACCATGCGTGGCACTGCAATGTTCCAGGCTGACTTTAAAAGTCCCATTCCGTTACTTAAAGCCACAGCAGGGAACCCCCCTCCAACATCTCTGAACCCTCGAGGGGCATCATAATGAGCAGGCACTACAAACGCATCCCGCTATCCACGCGGAACCCTGTTCTCACTCCACACCCCACCCCTGAGTGGATCTCACAGTTCACAGGTCTGCACATACTGCCCTCTCCACACTAACACAGAACAGAGGAGCCCCCCTCCTCCCCCCAAACACACACACACCTCCACCACACTTACCCACAAACAGCCACGCAATGTCTCTGTCTCCCTGTCTTATGTCTCTCTCTTCATTGCACAGAAAAGGGCACATATGTCTGGAAACACTTTTAAGCTAGTATCTGCTATTGCAGAACAAAGGCAATACAGGGCAGCCTTAATCTCAGCACTAAGGAAGCCAGTAGCTATTTTCAAGCTTTCTGTTTCTCTCTCTCTCTGAGGGCACCCTTGCTCTGTTTTTCACTCTCTCTCTCCTCTCTTTGCCTGTCCAGCGACTGCACAATACACATCAATTATTCATTGCCAGTCTCTCAGTTTCACAGGCAAAACCAATCACAGATGGAGTCTTTGCTAATGGGCTCATGCTGTACTTGCCATCAGCTTCTTTGCACTCAGGCTACGAATACTCAGGAGACAATGGGAGGGAGAATCAGGTTAAGCTTAAAAAAAACTTCACACACCAGAAGAGACAGCAAGAGTCTATCAGATACATTTTGGAGCAGTGTAGCTGTGCCTTGTTTCAAATAACCCCTGCAAGAACAGGAAGGAAGCCCTGCGTCCGTAGTGTTAAAGGGTTAAAAAAAACAAACGCTTATCTCCTCACCTTGGATGTATGCTGCTGTTATTGATGTATCTTCTTTTTCTGTCTAGTGATCCATTGCTCCTTCTCCCAATACTCACATCACACACAAGCAGCCACAGCCACTTTGCCAGAAGGGAGGAAAAAAAAAATGCAGGCAGCTCACATTTCAAACTTGCAAGGGGGGTGGCGCTTAATGTGCTAGACAGCCTGTTTCTTGGCCTGTGGCCAACGCAACTAAAAAAGAGGCTCCAATCAATTAATTTAAAGACA